AAATTGGTATGTAAAGGGTTCAGATTCGAAATTTTGACTGTATACGTAGGTCGGGCAATAAAAGCTTTACGAGGGGTACCCTGAGCCTCTTCGTGCAATAAATATACGTATACATTTTACAGTATAATCGAAGAAAAAGGACTTTCTATGGTCAGCCACTAGTAGACAATAAGAATTACACTGAGAATCGTCAAAAAAAAAAAAGGCTATTTACATTATTTCTCGTAGAGGATTATGTATTATAGACGTCAGTTTCTAAGCCATTCAAAATTCCACGTTATTTACGTATGTATTAGATCATCCCACGTATTTTCATTAATCGACCGTGAAACATTGTTTTATTTACAATCAACAATTTTTCACGGTTTTCCGATAACCAGCGCAACAGCAGCGCCGCCAGTGGCAGAAAGCGGCAGAGCACGCGACCGCCAAGAAAGGGAACCTATTATATTATTACTGTATTACCTATTTTATTATTGCATTACTTTTTAACATTATTAACTTCAACGTATGAATGCCCCATTATTTGAGCCGTCCCCAAAATATACATTTGATATGTATATACCTATATATACCGCAATAACGTATCTTGTATCCATAAAGATGTCCGTCGTAAATAAAAAAAAAAAAAAAAAAAAAAAAAAAAAAAAAAAAAAAAAAAAAAAAAAAAAAAAAAAAAAAAAAAAAAAAAAAAAAAAAAAAAAAAAAAAAAAAAAAAAAAAAAAAAAAAAAAAAAAAAAAAAATAGTATTTTTCTTTTAACATCCTGCCACTCCACTCTCTCAGTTCCCAAAGGCGTTCCCTGATCTTGTATACCTGTCACTTTGTTTCCTCTGACGAAAATAGATTATTAAGTGACTCAATGAACGACAGGAGGGAGGGTGGAGGTGGGACAGATTTTTGAGTAAATAAATTTGAGAAATTCGCGAGGAACGTTAAATATGTTATTACAGGTAAGGTGGACCAAAGGGCTATTAAGATGGACGTTCAAGAAATTATCTTTACGAAGTTAAGATCATACAGACATCGAATACCGATCGGTAAAGTCGGATAAATGAATCGATCGCACGAAAAAGATGATAATAATTGATAAAATCTAGATAAAAAAAAAAAAGACGAAAATTTTCGTATATAAATAAAAATTAAATTGTTTTCAGTTTATTTTTATCTTTGTTATTTTCCAATGTCAAAATTAAAACCATTTATTTAGATTGCAAATAGCCAACGCGAGAGTTCCGCAAGCGCCTATCGTAAATTCTCATGCGATTCCTGTCCATATACGCGTGCATGGCGATTGTCCGATCGAATGTTTAACGACGTAAATAAAGGGTGGCCAAAAAAAATAAAGAAAAGAAAAAAAAGTAAAATCACTACCACCACCTCGTAAAAAAAGAAACATGAACAAAAAAAAGAAAAGAAATGAAAAGTTATTTACAACTTCAACAATCGCCATCATTTCTAATGATATCATGACGGTACGGCATTTTCTCTCCCCCTGGCCCTCCGAACCCACCCACCGCCTGAGCCTGTTCCTTGGAACTCGTTAAAACTGCTATTTCAATGCGGGCCCGGTTGTCTTAGCCTATACGTCACTTAGACAAGACACGCGTCTCCGAGACGAAGGAACGTAGAAAGGAAGTTAACGTTCTGCCATCCTAACCTCTAAAAGGGTCGCCAAAAGCAAGAGTCGACCGAGACAAGGGTTAGATAGTATAAACAGTCGGAGGGCTGAAAACTTTTTAAAGTGACTCCGTAACAGGAGCAATGAGAAAAAGAAAGGCCCATTCCCAAAAGAACGGTGGGGGGGGGGG